AAAACTGCTAGAGCTAATCAATGAATTTGGTAAAGTAGCAGGATACAAAATTAATGCACAGAAATCTCTTGAATTCCTATACACTAAGAACGAAAGATCAGAAGGAGAAATTAAGGAAACACTCCCATTTACCATTGCAACAAAAAGAATAAAATACCTAGGAATAAACCTACCTAAGGAGACAAAAGACCTGTATGCAGAAAACTATAAGACACTGATGAAAGAAATTAAAGGTGATACAAACAGATTGAGAGATATACCGTGTTCTTGGATTGGAGGAATCAACTTTGTGGAAATGACTATACTACCCCAAGCAATCTACAGATTCAGTGGAATCCCTATCAAACTACCAATGGCATTTTTCACAGAAGTAGAACAGAAAATTTCACAATTTGTATGGCAACACAAGAGACCCTGAGTAGCCAAAGCAATCTTCAGAAAGAAAAATGGAGGTAGAGGAATCAGGCTCCCTGCCTTTAGGCTATACTATAAGGCTACAGTAATCAAGACAGTATGGTACTGACACAAAAACAGAAATACAGATCAATGGAACAGGATAGAAAGCCCAGAGATAAACCCATGCACATATGGTCACCTTATTTTTGATAAAGGAGGCAAGACTATACAGTGGAGAAAAGACATCCTCTTCAGTAAGTGGTGCTGGGAAAACTGGACAGCTACATGTAAAAGAATGAAATTAGAACACTCCCTAACACCATACACAAAAATAAACTCAAAATGGATTAGAGACCTAAATGTAAGACTGGAAACTATAAAACTCCTAGAGGAAAACATAGAAAAAACACTCCTTGACATAAATCACAGCAAGATCGTTTTTGACCCACCTCCTAGAGAAATGGAAATAAAAACAAAAATAAACAAATGGGACCTAATGAAACTTCAAAGCTTTTGCACAGCAAAGGAAACCATAAACAAGATGAAAAGACAGCCCTCAGAATGGGAGAAAATACTTGCAAATGTAGCAACTGACAAAGAATTAATCTCCAAAATTTACAAGCAGTTCATGCAGCTCAATATCAAGAAAACAACCCAATCCAAAAATGGGCAGAAGACCTAAATAGACATTTCTCCTAAGAAGATATACAGATTGCCAACAAACACATGAAAGTATGCTGAACATCACTAACCATTAGAGAAATGCAAATCAAAACTACAATGAGGTTTCACCTCACACCAGTCTGAATGGCCATCATCAAAAAAATCTACAAGCAGTAAATCCTGGAGAGGGTGTGGAGAAAAGGGAACCCCCTTGCACTGTTGGTGGGAATATAAATTGATACAGCCACTATGGAGAACAGTATGGGGGTTCCTTAAAAAACTAAAAATTGAACTACCATACGACCCAGCAAATCCCACTACTGGGCATATACCCTGAGAAAACCATAATTCAAAAAGAGTCATGTACCACAATGTTCACTGCAGCTCTATTTACAATAGCCAGGACATGGAAGCAACCTAAGTGTCCATCAACAGATGAATGGATAAAGAAGATGTGACACATACATACAATGGAATATTACTCAGCCATAAAAAGAAATGAAATTGAGTTATTTGTAGTGAGGTGGATGGACCTAGCATGTGTCATACAGAGTGAAGTCAGTCAGAAAGAGAAAAACAAATATCGTATGCTAACACATGTGTATGGAATCTAAAGAAAAAAAGATGGTCATGAAGAACTTAGGGGTAGGAAAGGAATAAAGACGCAGATGTAGAGAATGGACTTGAGGACATGGGGAGGGGGAAGGGTAAGCTGGGACGAAGTGAGAGAGAGGCATGGACTTATATATACTACCAAAATACATAGCTAGTGGGAAGCAGCCTCATAGCACAGAGAGATCAGCTTGGTGCTTTGTGACCACCTATAGGGGTGGGATAGGGAGGGTGGGAAGGAGATGCAACAGGAAGGAGATATGGGGATATATTTATATGTATAGCTGATTCACTTTGTTATAAAGCAGACTAACACACCATTGTAAAGCAATTATACTCCAATAAAGATGTTAAAAAAATAAAAAACAAAAACAATCCGCCTACCAGTGTAGGGGACACGGGTTCAATCCCTGGTCTGGCAAGATTCCCACATGCCACGAAGCAGCTAAGCCCGCGTGCCACAACTACTCAGCTCTGTGCTCTAGAGCCCGTGAGCCACAACTACGAAGCCCGCACGCCTAGAGCCCATCCTCCACAACAAGAGAAGCCACTGCAATGAGAAGCCTCTGCACCACAGTGAAGAGTAGCCCCTGCTTGCTGCAACTAGAGAAAGCCCGTGTGCAGCAACAAAGACCCAGTGCAACAAAAATAGAGAGAGAACTGGATAAATACAAAGCAGTAAGATTTTATTGTTTTAAATTAATGAGAACCAAGCGTTGGGTCCTATATTGATCATACACCTAAGATTTACTTTTTTCTGTATACTCTTTTGTACCTCTTAAGTTTTGTACCATAAGAATCTATTGCCTTCTTTCACTTATTTATTTTTTTGCATTTAAAAAATTTTATTGAAATATAGTTAATTTACAGTGTTGTGTTAATTTCTGCTGTACAGCAAAGTGATTCAGTTATACATATATATATCCTTTTTCACTATGGTTTATCACAGATATTGAGTATAGTTCCCTGTGCTACACAGTAGGGCCTTGCTGTTTATCCATCCTGTATATACTAGTTTGCATCCGCTAATCCCAAACTGTCAATCCTTCCCTTTCCCACCCTCCCTCCCCTTTGGCAACCACAAGTCTGTTCTCTAAGTCCACGAGTCTGTTTGTTTAGTAAATAAGTTCATTTGTGTTGTATTTTAGATTCCACATATAAGTGATACCATATGGTATTTGTCTTTCTCTGTCTAACCTACTTCACTTAGATGGACCTAGAGGTCATCATACTATGTTGCTGCAAATGGTGTGATTTCATTTTTTATGGCTGAGTAATATTCCATTGTGTGTATGTATTTGTGTGTGTGTATACACACACACACACACACACACACACACACACACACACACACACACACACACACACACACATATACACCACATTTTCTTTATCCAGTCATTTGTTGATGGACATTTAGGTAGTTTCCATGTCTTGGCTTTTGGAATTAGTGCTGCTGTGAATATTGGGGTGCATGTATATTTTTGAATTACAGTTTTGTCTGGGTATATTCCCAGGAGTGGAATTGCTGGATCATATGGTGACTCTATTTTTAGTTTTTTGAGGAGCCTCCATACTGTTTTGCATAGTGGCTATACCAATTTACATTCCCACCAGCAGTGTAAGAGGGTTCCCTTTTTTTCACACCTACTCCAACATTTATTATTTGTAGACTTTTTAATGATGGCTATTTTGACCATTGTGAGGTGGTGTACCTCATTGTAGTTTCGATTTGTGTTTCTCTAATAATTAGCGATGATGAGCATGTTTTCTTGTGCCTATTGGCCATCTGTATATCTTCTTTGCAGAAATGTCTATTTAGGTCTTCTGACCATTTTTTAATTGGGCTTTTTTTGTTATTGAGTTGTTTGAGTTGTTTGTATATTTTGGAAATTAAGCCCTTGTCAGTCGCATCATTTGCAGATATTTTCTCCCAGTCCATAGGTATAGTCTTTTCGTTTTGTTTATGGTTTCCTTTGCTTTACAAAAGCTTATAAGTTTGATTAGGTCCCATATGTTTATTTTTGCTTTTATTTCTATTGCCTTGGGTGACTGGTATGATTGGTACAACTTACGTCAGAGAATGTTTTGTCTATGTTCAAGGAGTTTTGTGGTGTCATGTCTCATATTTAAGTCTTTAAGCCATTTTGGATTTATTTTTGTGTATGGTGTGATGGTGTGTTCTAACTTCATTGATTTGCATGTGGCTGTCCAACTTTTCCAATACCACTTGCTAAAGAGAGTGTCTTTTCCCCATTGTATATTCTTGCCTCCTTTGTTGAAGATTAATTGTCTATAGGTGTTTGGGTTTATTTCTGGGCTCTCCACTCTGTTCCATTGATCCACATGTTTTGGGGCCAAAACCATGCTGTTTTTTTAATTTTTAAAAAAATTTATTTATGGCTCTTGTTGGGTCTTAACTGCTGCGCGCAGGCTTTCTCTATTTGCTGCAAGCGGGAGCTACTCTTCATTGTGGTGGCTTCTCTTGTTGTGGAGCACGGGCTCTAGGCACGTGGGCTTCAGTAGTTGTGGCACATGGACTCAGTAGTTGTGGCTCATGGGCTCTAGAGCACAGGCTCAGTAGTTGTGGCCCACAGGCTTAGTTGCTCCGTGGCATGTGGGATCTTCCCAGACCAGGGCTTGAACCTGTGTCCCCTGCATTGGCAGGCGGACTCTTAACCACTGCACCACCAGGGAAGCCCAACCATGCTGTTTTGATTATTGTAGCTTTGTAGTATTGTCTGACGTCTAGGGGGATTATACCTCCTGCTTTGTTCTTTTTCCTAAGGATTGCTTTGGCAATTCTGGGTCTTTTATGGTTCCATATAAATTTTAGGATTATTTGTCCTAGTTCTGTGAAAAATGTCATGGATAATTTTATAGCGATTGCATTAAATCTGTAGATTGCTTTGGGTAGCATGGCCATTTTAACAGTATTCTCCCAATCCAAGAGCATGGGATATCTTTCCATTTCCTTGAATCCTCTTTAATTTCCTTTATTAATGTTTTATAGTTCTCAGCATGTAAGTGTGTCACTTCCTTAGTCAGGTTTATTCCTAGGGGTTTTTTGTTGTTGTTGTTGGTAGTGGTGCTATTTTAAAAGGTATTGTTTTTTTACATTCCCTGTCTGATATTTCATTGTTAGTGTAAAGAAACGCAACTGTTTTCTAAATACTAATCTTGTATCCTGCCTACTTTGCTGAATTCATGTATTAGATCTAGTAGTTTTTGTGTGGAGTCCTTAGGGTTTTCTATGTTTAGTATCATGTCATCTACATATAGTGAAAATTTTACCTCTTTCCTTCCAATTTGGATACCTTTTATTTATTTTTCTTGTCTGATTGCTGTGGCTAGGACTTCCCAATACCGTGTTGAGTAGAAGTGGTGAGAATGGGCATCCTTATTCCAGATGTTAGCAGGAAGACTTTCAGCTTTTCACTGTTGGGTATTATATTGGCTGTGGGTTTGTCGTAAACAGCTTTCATTATGATGAGATATGTTCCTGTATATCCACTTTGGTAAGAGTTTTTATCATGAATGGATGTTGAATTTTGTCAAATGCTTTTTCTCATCTATTGAGATGATCATGTTATTTTTTCTCTTTTTTTTAATTGATTTATTTTATTTATCTTTGGCTATATTATAAAGCCTACTGCACGCGGGCTTTCTCTAGTTGCAGTGAGTGGAGGCTACTCTTAGTTGTGGTGCACGGGCTTCTCATTGTGGTGGCTTCTCTTGTTGTGGAGCACAGGCTCTAGGAGCATGGGCTTCAGTAGTTGGAGCATGAGGGCTCAGTAGTTGTGGCTCTTGGGCTCTAGAGCACAGGCCCAGTAGTTGTGTCACATGGGCTTAGTTGCCCTGTGGCATGTGGGATCTTCCCGGACCAGGGCTTGAACTCGTGTCCCCTGCGTTGGCAGGCGGATTCTTAACCACTGCGCCTCCAGGGAAGCCCGACCATGTGGTTTTTGACTTTTGTTAATGTGTATTACATTGATATGCATATGTTGAACCATCCTTGTGAACTTGGGATGAATCCCACTTGATCATGGTGTATGATCTTTTTTATGTGTTGTTGGATTCAGTTTGCTAATATTTTGTTGATAATTTTTGCCTCTATATTTATCAAAGATATTGGCCTGTAATTTTCTTTCTTGGTGGTATCTTTGTTTGATTTTGGTATCAGAGTGATGGTGACTTCATAGAATGTCTTTGCGAGTGTTCCCTCGTCTTCAGTCTTTTGGAAGAGTTTGAGAAGAATTGGTAGAAGTTCTTCTTTGTATGTTTGGTAGAATTTGCCTGTGAAGTCATCTGGTCCTGGACTTCTGTTTGTAGGGAGTTTTGGTTTCTTTTTTTTGATCACACCATGCAGCATATGGAATCTTAGTTCCCTGACCAGGGATCAAGCTCTTGCCCCTTGCATTGGAAGCATGGAGTCTTAACCACTGGACAGCCAGGGAAGTCCCTGTAGGGAGTTTTTTTGGTTTTTTTTTTTTTTTTTTTTTTACTATAGATTCTGTTTCACTTCTGGTGATTGGTCTGTTCAAATTATTTCTTCTTGATTCAATTTTGGTGGGCTGTATGTTTCTAGAAAGTTGTCCATTTCTTCTAGATTGTCAAATATGTTGGCATATAATTGTTCATAGTATTCTCTTACGTTTTTTTTTGTATTTCTGCAGTATCAGTTGTGATTTTTCCCCTTTCATTTCTTATTTTGCTTATTTGGGTCTTGTCTCTTTTCTTCTTGGTGCACCTGGCCAGAGGCTTATCAATTCTGTTTACCCTTTTAAAGAACCAACTCTTGGTTTTATTGATTTTTTTTCCTATTTTTTTAATCTCTATTTTATTTATTTCCTCTCTGATCATTATTATCTCCTTTCTTCTGCTGACTTTAGGTTTTGTTTGTTCTTCTTTTTCTGATTATTTTAGGTGGTGGGTTAAGTTACTTGAGATTTTTCTTGTTTCCTAAAGAAGGCCTGTGTCACTATGAACTTCCTTCTAAGAACTGCTTTTGTTGCATCCCATAGATTTTGTTTATCATTTTTGGCTGCGCTACATGACTTGTGGGATCTTACTTCCCTGATCAGGGATTGAACCCGGACCCTCAGCAGTGAGAGCATGGAGTCCTAATCACTGGACCACCAGGGAATTTCCCCATAGATTTTGTATGGTTGTGTTTTCATTGTCATTTGCCTTGAGGTATTTTTTAATTTCTTCTTTGATTTCACCATTGACCCATTGGTTATTTTAGGAGCACGTTGTTTAGTCTCCATGTAATTGGTTTTTTTCTTGTTTCTTTTTCTGTTGTTGATTTCTGGTTTCATGCTGTTGTGGTCAGAAATGATGCTTGAAATAATTCCTATACCCTTAAATTTGTTGAGGCTTGTTTTGTGCCCTAGTATGTGGTCAATCCTAGAGAACGTTCCATGTGCGCTTGAAAAGAATATGTATTCTGCTTTTTGGGGGTGTAATGTCCTGAAAATATCAACTAAGTCTGTTCTGTTGTATCACTTAGGATCTCTGTTGCCTTATTGATTTTCTGTGTAGAAGATCTGTCTATTGATGTGAGTGGGGTGTTAAAATCTACTATTACTGTACTCCTGTCAGTTTCTCCCTTTATGTGTGTGTTTGTTTTATGTATTTGGGTGCTCCTATATTGGGTACATACATGTTGACAAGTGTAATATCCTCTCCTTGTGTTGATCCTGTTATTATATAGTGTTCTTTATCTTTCTTTATAGCCTTTGTTTTAAAGTCTATTTTGTCTGATAGGAGTATTGCGACCCCCACTTGTCGTTTTTGTTTGCATGAAACATCTTTTTCCAACTCCTCACTCTAAATCTATATGTGGCCTTTGTCCTAAAGTGGGTCTTTTTTTTTTTTTTAATTATTTATTTATTTTTTGGGGCTGTGCTAGGTCTTCGTTGCTGTGCATGGGCTTTCTCTAGTTGCGGCAAGCGGGGGCTACTCTTTGTTGTGGTGCATGGGCTTCCCATTGCAGTGGCTTCTTTGGTTGCGGAGCACAGGCTCTAGGTACGTGGGCTTCAGTTGTTGTAACACACAGGCTCAGTAGTTGTGGCTTGCAGGCTCTAGAGTGTAGGCTCAGTAGTTGTGGCACACAGGCTTAGTTGCTTCGCAGCATCTGGGATCTTCCTGGACCAGGGCTCAAACCCGGGTCCCCTGCATTGGCAGGCGGATTCTTAACCACTGCATCACCAGGGAAGTCCCTAAAGTTGGTCTCTTGTAGGTAGCATAGTGTATGTAGGCTCGTTTCATCCAGTCTGCCACTCTGTGTCTTTTGATTGGAGCATTTAGTCCATTGACATTTAAAGTAATTATTGATAGATATGTATTTATTGCCATTTTAAACCTTGTTTTCCCGTTGATTCTATATATCTTCTTTGTCCCTTTTTGTTTTTCCTTTTGTGGTTTGAAGACTTTCTTTGGTATTATGCTTATGTTCTCTTCTTTTTGGTGTTTGTGAACCTATTGTGTGTTTTTGATTTGTGGTTGCCCTGTTTTTCAAGTATATTAACCCTTCCCACTTGCTTTAGACTGATAATCATATGGGTTCGAACACATTCTAGGAAATTACATTTTCTTACTCTCCTCCCCCACATTTGATGATTTTGATGTCTTCTTTTACATCTTCATGTTCTTCCTTTTGCTGTTCATTGTGGTTATCATCACTTCCACAGAAATTTTTGATTGTCTTTTTTTAAATCTGTATATGAGCTTACTTAAGTGATTTACTTTCTGATTAGGATTTTCTCTTTTCTATAGATTTTTCTTTTCTATTTAGAGAAGACCTTTCAATATTTCCCTTAGGATGGGTTTGGTATTGCTGTATTCTTTTAGTTTTTGCTTGTCTGAGAAATTCTTTATCTCTCCTTCTATTCTAAATGATAATCTTGCTGGGTAGAGTATCCTAGGTTGCAGATTTTTCCCTCTCAGGACTTTGAATGTATCTTGCCACTTCCTTCTGGCCTGCAACATTTCTTTGTTTTTTTTCCATAGGCACCTTTTTTGGGGGGGGCGGGGGAGGCTACATTGGGTCTTCGTTGTGGCGTGTGGGATCTTCATTGCGGCATGCAGGATCTTCTTTTGTTGTAGCGTGTGGGCTCTTCGTTGCAGTGCATGGGCTTCTCTCTAGTTGTGGTGTGCGAGTTTTCTCTCTCTAGTTGAGGTGCATGGGCTCAGTAGTTGTGGTGCATAGGCTTAGTTGCCCCACAGCATGTGGGATCTTAGTTCCCCGACCAGGGATCGAACCTGTGTCTCCTGCATTGGAAGACAGATTCTTTACCATTGGACCACCAGGGAAGTCCCTGGCCTGCAACATTTCTGTAGAGATATATGTCTTGGTGTAGGTCTGTTTGGGTTTATCTTGTTCTGGACTCTCTGTGCTTCCTGTACCGAGATATCTGCTATCTTCTTTAGGTTTGGGAAGTTTTCAGCCATCACATCTTCAATTCCCTTTTCTCTTTCTTCTCCTTCTAGGATCCCAGTTATGCATAGATTGGCATGCTTTGTATTATCCCACAGGTCTCTTATGTTGCTTTCATTTTGTTTTTTCATTTGCCTTTCTGTCTGCTGTTCTGATTGGGTGATTTCCATTATTCTATCTTCCAGGTCACTTGTTCTTCTGCATTATTCGTTCTACTATTCATTGCCTTTAGCTCAACTTTCAGTGAATGAGTTCTCTAATTTTTCTTGGTTCCTTTTTATAGTAATCTGCATTTCTATCAATACTCCTTAACTTCTTCAGTGTTTTCATTATCTCCTTTTTGAACTTGATGTCTATTAGACTGAAGAGGTCTGATTTGGTGTTTGTTCTTTCAGGGGAATTCTCTTGATCTTTTAATTGGGAATGGTTCCTCTGCTTTTTCATTTTACTTATATTTCTCTTTATGAGTTGAGGACAAACAATTATCTACTGTGGTTTGGAGGGCTGTTTTTATGTGGGGGTGTTCCTGTGTAGCCTTTGTGGGTTTGATATTCTTTGGTGTGAGGGCTGTTTTTAGCTTGGATGCCTGCCACCTCTTTCCTCGGTGTATGCTAGCTGTTATTATCCCCTTGCTAGGAGGTGTGACTGGTGTTGTGGTGACCAGAACCTGCACTGGATATTGAGTGGGGCCTCCTCCTTGCTCTGTGGTTTTCACTGCTCTATCAGAGGCTGGGTTTGTTCCCTAGCTGTTGGAGTAGAAGCCCCCAGATGCATTTCTGAGTGATGGTGCAAGGTAGGTGGGATTGGCGTGCTCCCATTGGGAGAGGAGCCACTGACTATTTCTCTGCTAGATCTGTTCACATGTGAGTGTGCTCACCTGTCACCCGTTGTGCAGGCTCACAAAGTACACTGCTGCTGGCACTGCCCTTGCCCCTGTCTCAACCTTGGGAATGCCATCAGTCAGCCCTGGTGTCCTCCTGGCCTTGTTTTCACAAGGCCACCAACGCAGATCCACTGAAGTCAGGTTCCAGGACTATAGTAGTTGTGCACCTGGACCCGCTATGGGGGCTATAGAGGCAGCTCAGACCCTGGCCCAGCCCAGTCCCCACATGCATGTGCCCACAAAGCCCACAGCTGCTAAGGCCAGATCTGTCCAAGCCATGGGAGGACCCGTTGTCCCTCGGATGTCCTGCAGGTGCTGAACTTACACGGCTGGCAGTGGAGGTGTAAGTCTGAGGCTTGCACAGCTGCAGGGAGAGATTTCAGCCCTACCTCCTAAGTCTCATGGCCGCTGGGGTCCAGCTGTGGTTTCAGCTCTGCCTCTGTGTGTGGGCAACCCACTGGCGTTTGCTCCCTGAGCCCGCCGAGGCAGCGGCTGGTTCGCCGGAGCCTGTCAAGGCAGGAGCCCCCAAGGCGGTGGCTGGGGTGCGCTCGCCTGGAGCCTGCCAAGGTGGGGGCTGGCACGTGAGAAAGAGGCTGCTATGGTGGCCTCCATTGCCTCCTCATACGCCACTTAACGATGGCGCTTCACTTCTGTGACGGGCCTGGGCTTCTTCCGCAAACATCCCCAGTTGCGACCACACCACATTCCAGCCCCTTCAGGCTGTTTCCACACAGCCAACAGCAGCCCTCTCCCTGTTCTGTCCTCTAAACCCTGAGTTTCAGTACCCAGCCCCTTCCCCTACCAGCAGATGTGCATCTCAGGCTGGGATGTGCAGGGCGGTGGCACGGCTGTCTGTGCAGGTCTCTGTTTGTTCTGCCTGCCACAGACCGGTTGTTGCACTCTCCTCTGTGCCTCTGAAGCTCCCTTTCTGTCCTGGTTGATCTCCCTGCCAGTGAGGGGGTATCCCACGGTGTGGGAACCTTTCCTTTTTCCAGCTCCCTCCCATGGCCGCAGATCCCGTCCTGCTTTCCCTTTTTTTTTTTTCTCTTTCGTCCTACCTGGTCACATGGAGATTTTTCCTGTCCTTTCAGGTGTTTGAGGTCTTCTGCTGGTGTTCAGTAGGTGTTCTGTGGGAACTGTTCCATTTGTAGGGGTATTTTTGGTGTATTTGTGGGAGGATGTGAGTTCCACATCCTTCTACTCTGCTGTCTTGACTGGAGCTCCTATTCCCTTCTTTTAATTCTTTAAGCATGAAATATTGCCATTTGCAGTAATATGTTAGTTACTGGACCTAGAGAATATTAAACTTAGTGAAGTAAGTCAGAGAAAGACAAATACTGTATGATATCACTTATATGTGGAATCTTAAAAAAGAATCTGTATACAAAACAGAAACAGACTTAACAGACATAGAAAACAAACTTATGGTTACCAAAGTGGAGAGGGAAGGGAGGAGGGGACAAATTAGGGTTGTGGGATTAACAGATACAAACTACTATACATAAAATAGATAAGCAAAAAGGAATTACTGTGTAGCACAGGGAACAATATTCAATATCTTGTAATAACCTATAATGAATATAATCTGAAAAAATATAACAATCACTTTGCTGTACACCTGAAGCTAACACAATATTGTAAATCAACTGTACTTTAATAAAAAATACATATATATATAATGATTCTTCTAAGTTTGAAAAATTAAAAAACAAAAAGTTGATACCAAACAGCTAAAAAAATAACTTTGAAAAACAGGTAGAGTCTGAATCAAATCCATTAAGCTTTTGATGAACACATACGTGCAGTTCTTGGTATGGCCAATATATGACAGTTCCCGTTATCTTACCCGATAATAGCTGCTGTCAGTGTTTACTGTGTGCCAGGCACTTTATGTGCTGTGATTTAGAATCTTCACACCTCAGTGCTCCATTTTTCTGTTGAAGAAACTTAGGTTGAGAGTGGTTAAGTAACTTGTCCAAAGTTACACAGTGAGGGTGAAAATAAACAGATTTGAACCCAGGAAAGTTCTCACACTCTGCAGTCTATCATGTGGCCTAGGCAGAATGCTGCTAGAACCACTGCCCTAGTAACTTTAGCTGCTATCATGGCAAATATCGTCACCACAAGAGTCTTTGTATAGCAATGACAACAGAACCCATTTGTTTTATGAAATACGTATTAAGAAGAGGATGCAGAGAATATCTTAGAATTTTTGTTAATTATATTTTTAATCTTTGAAAAGTCCTTTTTACAGATTAGTATGTGATAAGATTTGAACAAGGGAAAAATTCACTAGCATCTGAGCTGGTTGATTTGTAGCTTGAATGTGTAAATTTATATTTTAAACATTAAAGATTGAAAATATTTTTTTCATTTCTTATCTCAACAGCAAATAGCACTACTGTCCATAAAAACATTTTTAGAAATGTTTATAGTTTTTTAGTGCTGCATCTGTAGTGTTTAAGAACATTGATCTTTTTGACAAGAAACAATATAATATTTTCCAGTTTAGTATAATGGTCAAACTAAGCACAATGTAAAGCACTTATTACATCAAACTTGAGCATTTAAAAAGTTATTTTAAAGTAAATACTAATTTTAAAATACTGAGGAGGGCTTCTCTGGTGGCACAGTGGTTGAGAGTCCGCCTGCTGATGCAGGGGACACGGGTTCGTGCCCCAGTCTGGGAAGATCCCACATGCTGCTGAGCCTGCGCGTCCGGAGCCTGTGCTCCGCAACGCGAGAGGCCACAACAGTGAGAGGCCCGCATACCGCAAAAAAAACAAAAACAAAAAAATACTGGGGAAGAAAAGAAAAATTAGTCATTTCATCCTAAAATAGATTTTGTAAATATTTTACTGTATGCCTTTTGGGTCTTATAGAAAGTTTTAAACATAGTTGTAATTGTAGAGTATGTATGTTCTACTTTTCACCTAACATCATAAGGAAGTCATGTTTGTTTGAATGGTTTAAAAATTACTTTTACTGTCTGCTTATTAATATACTTAAATTAAAAAAATCTTTATGTAAGGAGTTTTCTGTTTTAGAGAAAATGTTTTGAGTGTGTGGTGGTGGTAGTGTCTAGGGAGGAACAGTAATCTTTTTGGAAAGAGAATCTTTTCTATCCCATGCTCTTGCGGGTCCCATTGTATCAAGAATAACAATAGCCAATGTTTATGGAACATTTATTGTGTTTCTGGCACTGATCTGAGCACTTTCCATGGATTAACTCTAATCTATAGAATCACCTATGAATACGATATTGTTACTACTCTCATTTTGCAGATGGAGAAACAAAGGCACACAGACATTAGGTAACTAATTCAATCATGTAGCTAAGAAGTAATATTACTGGAATGTGAACTCAGGTAGTCTCGCTCTAGAACCCATGTTTATTGAATACTACATTGTTCTGTCTCAAAATGATTGTCTTGTTTTAATACCTCCTTGAGTGTACTCCAAATATTAGTAAATAGAGTTTTATATTTGTATGTAAGAGATTTAAATAATATTCATTTCAAAGGAATAGAAAAAAGAGAAAGTGCTGCAGAAAAACACCTCTTTTAGAAGCAAAGAGGAAATCTCTGAAATTTCTTATAAGTGTTAAGTGAACTAACAAAATAGTTAATTCTGTTTTGGGTAGTTTTACTGATAGTAGGTTTAGTGGAGATTGCATTTAAGAAAACTCAAAAAATATCAAACTTAAAACACTTTGGAGTGGCTATCATTTTTCCCGTTTCTCCTCTGAATCAAGTATGTATATGTCAAGCTCTGTTTTCACTTGGCATTTGAGAGCGAGCCTCATGAGTTGATGCCTGAGAGAACACTTGGAAACGATGAAGAATTCCATTGCTGTAAGCTGCACTATGATGAGATGTGGATGCTTTTATGTAGTAGATAATCTCATCATACAAGCTCATGTTTGATTACCCACTTGGCACAATTGAAAAACAACATGCTATTCCAAGAAAGTCTAAGTGTCTTTAGTTAATGATGGGTGATCCTTTTGAGTCTCTCTTTTCCAAAGTGCTTTAAAAGCACTGAAGTACTCTCAGGCCATCCTAGCATGGATTATGTTGAAAGGGAAGAAAAATGCTATTCTTTGCTGGAAGTAATGTGGGATTTAATAAATCCTTTGGCTTTGATCTTAATATGTCCTAGAAAGGGGACTTCCCTGGTGGTCCAGTGACTAAGACTCCGTGTTCCCAATGCAGGGGACCTGGGTTCGATCCCTGGTCAGGGAACTAGATCCCACATGCCGCAACTAAAGATCCTGCACGCAGCAACGAAGTCCCCACGTGCTGCAACTAAGACCCAGCGCAGCTAAATAAATAAATGAATATTTTTTAAAAATTAATACATCCTAGAGAAAAAGATAAGCACACACATGCATGACCTTTGGGGAACTGTTTTTATTTTATTTCATTTTTATTTATTTGTAATAGAATATAATTGATTTTACAATATTGTATTAGTTTCAGGTGAACAACGTAGCAATTCAATATTTTTATAGATTATACTCCATTTAAAGTTCATTAGCAAATAACGGCTAGATTTTCCTGTGCTGTACAATATATCCTTGTTGCTTATTTATTTTATACATGATAGTTGGTACTTCTTAATCCCCTTCCCCTATCTTGCCCCTCCCCTTTCCCTTTCCCCACTGGTCACCACTAGTTTATTCTCTGTGTCTGTGGGTCTTTGTTACTCATTTGTTTACTTTTTAGATTCCACAAATAAGTAATAATGGAGAACTATTTTTATTAAAACATTATCTTGTGATGTACTCTCTGAATATGCCCTGTCCAGAGTGTGCATAGTGTTCCTTTACAGGGTATTTATCAAATACCAGGCTTATTGAAAAGTTAGAAGTTGAAGTATGTAAGTTTGAGTCAAGAAAAAAAGTCACTGAAGTTTTTTAAAAGTTAAAAATTAAAACATTTGTTTTCAGCCACCCTAACCATGCTGTATTCCTTATGTTTTATGTGTATGTATAGGATTTTTATATTACTGTGGGAACAGGATTGGTGTTTTTGGTGGCATCCATCTTATTCGCTTTGACACATGACAGTACCCCGGCTGAACTTGCTGCAATTGTAAGTACCTTTTATCTTCGCTTATTTTTATTTGCTTAGAAATATGGAATTTGGAAAGTACTTGACAGGTTATACAATAAGGGAGAGTGGTTTGTCTTTTAACTTATTTTTTAGTGTAATTTGATTAGAGGCCTAAAAGCAAATAAATATGATAGCCTTAAAAACCTAGAACCTGTCTTTAGAATTTGAGTTTTGTTAACAAAAATCCATTGAAGCCACATATGAACTTTATTGCTAATGGAAGTGGTAAAATTGACTTGATTATCTTATATTTCTCCCCTTTTTGGTTCAACAGAAACACACCTACATATCACATGCTGTTTTAGGTGTAGAGAATAGACAGGAGAAATGACCCCAAAGTTCAGCCTAGTATAAGAGATAGATAAGTAAATGTTTTTATCTGAAATCCTTGAGGGACCAAATGTTTTTAAGAATTCAGAATATTCTGCACTTTAGAAAGGTAATACTGTGCATATACTGTATTACACACCTTCAGAGGGCCTGGGCAGCACCTTGTAATCCAACATATTAATTTTTCTGAAGCATCTGAATATTCACAGTTAAAGAGATAGATAAAGACTGTAAAGAGTTTTACCTTGTGTCAATTTTCAGCCAAGTAAATCATGAAACTTCGAGTTTTTGTTGCTTTTTGGACTTCAGAATTGCAAATCAAGGATCATGGACTTAATTGGTGCCAGTGCTGTGAACATGAACAACTAACAACTGGTTAACAAGTCCTCTTACTAGTCAGCTGATTTCCAATTAATGCTTTGTTCATAAGAAAATTGAAGTTGTAATTAATTGAACTGTCGGCTAATAGATCATTAAAACTGCTTTTTATGATAGAACTCAAAAGGAGTTCAGAGAATTAGATGGCTATAACGTATCTACCTATTTATGTGAACACGGTTTCTTAGTACTTACATGTATAAAAACAAAACAATAAAATTAATGCCGAACCTGGATGCATTCTAGCAATAAGTAATATTTAGTCATGGATACATGAACCAGTTGAAGAGAAAAAAAGCCTTATGCTTAATTTGTTTGTAATCATATTTTTGTTGCAGAAGAGTATGATAGGGTGAATCAGTAAAATACTTTCTAGTATAAAAACGTATTGCTGTAAAATCCTGTGGAGGAAGTAAAATAAAGTTGAGGAAATGTTGAGTTCGTGGGGGGAAAGAAAGCATGTCCTAAAATTACCAGCTATTAAAAAAAAGCTTATTTATGTGTTTTAATTAGGTGGTATGTCAGAATGTTACAGTATTCAGATTTCATTAGATATATTTAAGAGTGACTGGTGGTTTAAAAGCTCAGTATTTATAATCTGCTGGAAATTAACCTTTTGCAACTATTTAAATTATGAAAGTTATACAGACTGAAATGGGTGAGGGAGTCCATTTTTTTAAAAATTGTGATGTGAGCAGAAGAGCTAGAAGATCATTTGGGTTATATGCATAGAGGGTCCTGTACGGACCAGAGCTTTCTAAGGTGGTCAGAGATGTCTTCGTAGACAAGATGACATCTGATCTGCCTTTAAAGTGTCAAATAAATTTGCCAGTCAAATAAGGGGACAGATGCCATCAAGCCAAAATACAGACTCCAGAGTGGAGAAGGGACTTGGGTTTCGAGGGGTGGAATTGATAATTACATTTTGGTTGGATGTGTTGGGGACATCCAGGTGAATTAATGAATAGGGAGCTCCGTTTGCTTTACAGTGAAATGAGGCAGAATGGAGGGATGGGGTGTGAAGGGCAAGAGACTGCAGCAAATGACAACAAAATGTTAAACTTCATGGAGCTGGAGCCTTAGAATTGGGACTTTAGCCGTAACCTACATCGATTTTCTCTTTTTACAGAGCACTTCTTTGGCCCCCTTCCTTAAGGGTTTTTCTAGTGAAGAAGCTAAATTTGCACCATGGGCTTCTGTCTCTTGACAGAATTCTCAGAATGTTTGATTAGATGTTAGAAGAGTATAATGAGGAAGTGATTTAAGGAAGAGGTAGTAGGTAGTGGCGTCATGTTGCTGTGTCATTACAGTGTGACAGTGAGCTGGAAAATATTTTTTAGGTAATTGAACTATTTAACCTAAAAGTATCTTCAAAATAGAATTTCTGTTTTGATACAAATAACCTTTTCCATTTTTACCTAGGCGTGGCTGCCTGCTCTTCTCATCTGTCAGTCTAAACCATTGCTAACAATCCAGTGTTTTGTATCATGTTATAGGATTTTGTTTTTCATCTATTAACCTTAGCTTCATAGATTGGCACCTCACACATACACACACACACACACACAAGACAGGACATTAATATATTGTGACCTTGACTAATGGCCATTATTCTGGAATTCTTTTTTGTAACTTCTTTCCATTTTTTGATCTTAAAAGATTTTTAACCACTGATGTTAAGAATGATGTGTATAAGATAAATTGATGAATTGTCTTGCTTGTATAAAACACGATCAGAGCCAAGTAGGAAATGTGAGAGTATATTGCAGCATTCCTCATATAATCTTTGCCCCTTTTCCCTCCTCAGGTGTTTGGATTTCTAGCAAGTTTTGTGTTCCTGTCTGACTTTTTCCTTATGGTCTATGAAAAACGTAAGGAGCCCCAGCCAAGAAAACCTGAGGCTACTGTTAATGAACCACTTAATGCTCAGGGACTCTAGGGAACAGGTGTTACGTTGCTACTGCGTGGTGCCTGAGCCCTGGCAGAAGCTCTTGTAGAGTCTGTCATTATTAAACCACTTCTTTTGGAGCGCAAGGCAGAAAGGCAGTTTGATCAGTATTGATTGGACTGTGTGTCAGTCACCACAAATTGGGCCAGAGGGCTTTTTGTTTTAAAAAATATATGTATATTTTTTGGTAACAGTTGAAACTTCTGTCAGATGAAGTTTTGTTTTGTTTGGAGGTGAGGGCAATTGTTTGTTTAAATCACATAGCTCAACTGATGATAAATTATTCTGTCATTGTTACTAGGCTTAGCTTTCAAATTATGCTTTATAGCTGTATAAACAGCATGATTAAGTTTATCCATTTAGAAATGGTTTCATTTTTAAATTAACTTGCTTAACTATAACTTTGCTTTTTGATGACTTGATAAAATTTAATGTATATTTAAGAGATCAATATTTTAAATGTTGGTCTAGGTTTTTTTCCTTAAAATGTAAAACCCAGTCTTTACTGTATCTCACTCAGACTTAAAATTATACTGTAACATTTTAGGATAATAATAATTGACTCTTTCTGAGACCTTTTATAGCTTAATAGAAAATGTATGGGAGATGTTGATATTTTACATGTTACAAAAGCAATAGCATCAGTAACCCCATGTTCATACTGTACTTTGCTTGTCAATATCTTGTAAAAAAAAAGATCTTTATATAGAAAGATAGAAAAATGGAAGAAACTGCTATCATGACTAAGGACCAAAGAAAGATAAGATACACTTTTGCACAATGCAGTGAAAGTAGTTATAAAAGTAGGCCTCAACCACTTCCAGATGCCTGAAGAGATGAGTTCATACTAGAAGACAGAAAATGGTTTGCTCCCTTTTGCCATATGATTATTTCTACTGAAGTTAATACAGCTCTGCAGGTTCTGTTCAGTGTTTTCTTTGGAGCCAATCTTCTTTTAAAACCCCAATCTTTGATTTTTGATTTGAGAGCCTCCCTCTTCTGTCTCCTTATAAGAATGGTCCATGTACTACTTCATCAGGCATAGCTGGGCCTCTGGCTCTGGCTTCCTTGATGGCAGATTCTCCGGAATCTTGGGCCCTTTTAATTGCATAGAGTATAGAGCAGGATCTTTAGGGTTCTTGTTCCCACATAGGCATTGCTCTGGTTTCTCTTCAAAGGAGACCTTCTTTTTCTTTTTTTTTTTTTTGCGGTACGCGGGCCTCTCACTGTTGTGGCCTCTCCCGCTGCAGAGCACAGGCTCCGGACGCGCAGGCTCAGCAGCCATGGCTCACGGGTCCAGCCACTCCATGGCATGTGGGATCCTCCCAGACCGGGGCACGAACCCGTGTCCCCTGCACCGGCAGGCGGACTCTCAACCACTGTGCCACCAGGGAAGCCCAGGAGACCTTCTTAAGAAAGTGAATATCCAGAGATTCCTGCCCAGTTTAATACTGCTGATGGTGTAAGGGAGTAGTCAAACCATTCTCAGAAGACACTTCATACCCAGTTCTGATAATTTGGAAGAACTGTCTGTTGCTGGCAGTCTGTCTTAGAGCCAGCCAGCCAGGGCACTTTGAGCAAGACCTTTCTTAAAGTGGGTCCTTTTTTTTTTTTTTTTTTTAAAACGGGACCTTTCTCACCAAGTGGTTCACAGACTAGACCTTTCTTGTCCTCCTGGTAGATTTTTTTGACTCAAGACTGTAGGGCTCAGGCAATGAGCCCATGCATCAGATCCTTCAGTACTTTGGTGAAAGTCTCCTGGGCTAGTCGGTTTTCTGTCTGAAAGAGTGGAATCATGTTTCCAGTGAGACAGTTTAATGACCTCATCCTTTTTAAATTTCTCATCTGCCAATTGTGTGTTGTAGATGGTTTTCAGACGCAGATGGCCGGACACAGCTTCTGCTCTTACTGACTTAGAACCTTATCCATTTGTATCAGAGCTTGGATGCTAGTGCTAGTGGTGATGTCACCACTACCTGCTTGGGAGATAATGAAACCAATCTTGGATGCTGTTTTTACTAGGTGTGCTGTCTGAGAGAGGAGAAATAGCCTGGGTCTTGGGTTCAAAGATAAGCAGCTTATGATAGGCAGGTTCTCAAATTTCACATCCAGCTATACCGTTGTCCTTTTAAGTATCATCTGCACCCAGCTGGGATTCAGAGCAGACCATCTGGGCTACCTCAGGGTCCCCAGTCATGCACTGGGCTCAGTTGAGTTTGATGGAATGTCCTCTGCTGGCCTCACATCCACAGCATGTTGGCGTGGAACTTAAGCTCTGCTTGTTCTGAGGTTTCACTTCCATTTGTTTCATTGGCGCAGAATGGACCTCTTAGCTGGCCACCAAAAGGTAATATCTTCACTGGTATTTTGGGTCACTCTAGAACCTTTCTTCACATTGTTTTTTACAGGACCCATGACTGATTAGCCTACGTCTTCTATTGTAGAAGGAGTTAGGAGTAAAAAGGTCTTTGTGGTAAATAAAAATTTCAAGGTGAACTTGAAACCAAAGATACTGTTACTTACAGAAAAGGGCACACTCAGTAAATTCAAATGTAAAATAATTTTTTATTAACATTTATGGTAAATTTATATTTACACAAATAGACTGTTTAGAAAGAATGGTTCTTAAAAATGATAAGGGAAATGCACATACAGTACAAAAATTTTATAATTGCTATACTTCTGTTTGGGGACTGGGAAATGTATTTTTTACATTGTTTATAGCCAATCATTTTTGTATTTAATAATTTTAAATCCTGAGTCTTTTATATCTCTCTCTGTCAAATTTTGTAGTCTTCTTTTTAAATAAACCCACTTTATTGTTCACACCTTTGCAGTTGTTTAATTATTATAAAAACATGGTGTTTAAATGAAAGCTTTCTCCAGAGTTCTAGGAGTTGGCTCTACAACCTTGGTAAGAATACTGGACTTTGGATCTGCTTGGGCGTGGGGCATGGGTAGAAAAGAAACACGTCCAACTCCTACCCATGGGCTGTCCCTCTTCTTGGAAAGTTGGAATACACATTGAAACAACGTTTTTAGGGAGCCCTGTGTGAAGAGTTACAAAGAAATGGGCTTACCTGGTGGCGCCACGTGGTTGAGAGTCCACCTGCCGATGCAGGGGACACGGGTTCGTGCCCCGGTCTGGGAAGATCCCACATGCCGCGGAGCGGCTGGGCCCGTGAGCCATGGCCGCTGAGCCTGCGCGTCCGGAGCCTGTGCTCCGCAACGGGAGAGGCCACAACAGTGAGAGGCCCACGTACCGCAAAAAAAAAAAAAAAAAAAAAAAGAGTTACAAAGGAATGTTATGGACTAAATATGGCTTTAAATACTCCCAAAGAAGCAAATTTGGACTCGATCACATTTCTCAGTGTGGCCAACAATCCTAAAAACAAAATAGGTACATTCTCTCTCAAGCTGTTCAATGATTGGGAAAGTGTGAAGCAAAACTGAGGTGGTGGTTCTGGTAAAGCTACAACTATTTGTGTAGTTTGCAAAATTCCTGCCTCCAGACATACAGAATAACAAGGTCTTTATAGTCATCAAGAACTCACTGGAATTTGTACATTCTTCAGAGTTTTGTGTTTCGTTTTGATAAAGAGTGTGATTTTATCAATGTGCAGTCAACTGCAAGGAGCAGAAACCTAATTAAGTAAGTGGGTCTTAAACAGTAAGGAAAATTTATTTCACAAGAAGTCTGGGTAGGGCAGTTCCACAACTGGTAAATTCAGTGGCTCACCAGGGACCCAGGCTCTTTCCATGTTTTTCTGCCCATCCACCTTTTTTTTTTTTTTTTAATTTATTATTTATTTTGGCCATGCTGGGTCATAGTTGTGGCATGCATGTGGGATCTAGTTCCCTGACTGGGGATCAAACCCAGGCCCCCTGCATTGGCAGCACGGAGTCTTTCCCCTGGGCCACCAGGGAGGTCCTTGCCCATCCACCTTCTGCTGTGAGAGTTTTTGTCTTCTGGATTGACCCTTTATGGTTTCGCAAGATGGTGGCAACATCTCCAGGCATCATCTGCTTGTACAACAATGTCCAAAGGCCAGAAGAGGTTGTTGATTCTTCCATGTCCTTTCAAGGTGTTCCTTTTTCACAGAAGCCCCTTGGTGGACTTCACCTACTTATCTTACTAGGAGATATTAAATGCCTGTTTCCAAATCAATTTTTAACATGGAGACTAGAATTTCTGTGATTGGCTTAAAGTAATCAAGATTCCTCCCCTTAGGTTGTGAATATCCTTTGAAGCCTATAGCCTTCTGATACCTGAACAAAATTGGTTCTGTTAGCAAGAGAAAGCGTCATGGGTTAGGGATCAACAGTGTCTGTCATAAGCATGTAAAGGATTGTGACCTAGCTAGGAGAAATAAAATTTCCAGTTTAAGAAATTCCTACAACATTGTAAGTCAACTGTACTTCAATTAAAATTAAAAGCAAAAAATTTCTGTAGGCCTGACTACCCCAAAACAATTTAAAATAGAAAAACTTGTTTTATTTCTTACACTAAATTATAATTCTACAAATAACGTCTACCATAGAAAATTGGTTTAACAAAAGTGGAAAGTATTGTTCTTTCCCTGATATCTTTGCATTTAGCTGCTTTAAAATTTTTTGAAATATGTCAAGCACTGGAAGTACAGAGGATAATGCTTGTTGTAGATACCACCCAGCTTTAGTGGATCATAACATTTTGCTGTATTTGCTTTAAGGGCCCTTGTTTAAAGAGAAAATGAAGTTATACTTTTAAAGTACCACCACCTCTAATCTTATTCTCTTTCCTTTCCCAAAGGTAAACACTGTCTTGAATTTGGTGGATATCTTTCCTGTTTTTCTTGTCTGACATGTATATAGATGTATCCATAAACAATGTACAGCGTGGTATAGTTTGCTTTTTTTAGTCAGTAGTATTTTTTAAATTTTATTTATTATTTTTGGCTGCATTGGGTCTTTGTGGTTGTGCGCAGGCTTTCTCTAGTTGCGGTGAGCAGGGGCTACTCTTCGTTGTGGTGTGCAGGCTTCTTATTGCGGTGACTTCTCATTGCAGAGCACGGGCTCGAGGCACTCAGGTTTCAGTAGTTGTGGCACGCAGGCTCAGCAGTTGTGGCTCGTGGGCTCTAGAGCACAGGCTCAGTAGTTGTGGTGCACGGCCTTAGTTGCTCTGCGGCATGTGGAATCTTCCCGGACCAGGGCTCAAACCCACATCCCCTGCATTGCCACACAGATTCTTAACCACTGCAGCACCAGGGAAGTCCCCCAAAATTTTTTGACATTATAAAGTACCATAAGGTAATGATGAAAGAAATATTAAAAGTAATAAAAAGCAAAGTTTATCCCTTTTACCTTTTGCATAGTGATTTAACTAGTAAATATTTAACAAAGAGAATTTAAGTTAAATATCCCAAAGCCAGACGAGCTACTTACGAACAGTTTACCAGAATAAACTCACCTATGTAGCAAAACAGTGAGAAGATTTATAAGTAGAGGTGATAAGCCTAATGAGCCTGGTGATAGCTGGTTGTCCAGAAACTTAGTTCAACTTTTAAAATTACCAAAAAAACTATAAATTTTAATGTATTTCTAAATGTTCATCTAAAAAGGTACAGCTTTTTAGAAACAGGATACAACCTTATCTAGAGAGTAAATATAAACAATACCATAGTTGGCTTAAAAGCAGCCACCAATTAAGAAGGCATTCAAGCTCAACAATATAATTATCTTCTCTCTTTTTTTTTTGTTTTGTTTTTTGGCCACACCATGTGGCTTGCAGGATCTTAGTTCCCCGACCAGGGACTGAACCCGTGCCCCCTTGCAGTGGAAGCGCAGAGTCCTAACCACTGGACTGCCATGGAATTACCAACAAAATAATTATCTTAATACCAACAACAAATTAACTCCTAGTTTAATACTGGACTTATTAATAGAAGCAGTAATGTTAATGAGTAACAAGAAATATTTCTCCTTGCATAAGCTTACATCAGTGACCAATGCTATACTGATAATTAATAGTAAATAAACAAAACCAACGATAAACTGTTTATCAAATACACCGCTAACCTATATACAGTTAGGCACCTAAGGAAGATTTTAAAAAAGTAAAAGGAACTCTGCAAACACAAACCCCACCTATTTACCAAAAACATCACCTCTAGCATAAGAAGTATTAGAGGCACTGCCTGCCCCGTGACAGCTGTTAAACGGCCGAGGTATCCTGACCATGCAAAGGTAACATCACCATTTGTTCTCTAAATGAGGACTTGCATGGATGACCACACGAGGGCTTTATTGTCACTTACTTTCGATCAGTGAAATTGACCATCCCGTGAAGAGGTGGCAATGACAAAATAAGATGAGACGACCCTATGGAGCTTTAATTAATTAACCCAAAATATAAACGATTAAGGGACAACAAAAATTTCATGTGGGTTAACAATTTTGGTCCGGGTGACTTCAGAGAACAAAACAACCTCCAAGTGATTAAAATCTAGACCTGCTAGTCAAAATAATTTATCATTTATTGATCCAAAAAAATTGATCAATAGAACAAGTAACCCTAGGGCTAACAGCACAACCCTATTCTAGAGTTCATATCGACAACAGGGTTTACAACTTCGATGTTGGATCAGGACACCCCAATTGTGTAACCGCTATTAAAGATTTGTTTGTTCAACGATTAAAGTCCTACTTCATCCCAGTTCAGACAGGAGTCATCCAGGTCGGTTTCTATCTACTCTATATTTTTCCCAGTTTGAAAGGGCAAGAGAAATAAAGCCTACTTTATAAAAATGCCTTAAAATAATTAATGATATAGGGACTTCCCTGGTGGTCCAGTGGTTAACACTGTGCTTCCAGTGCAGGGGGCATCGGTTTGATCCCTGGTTAGGGAACTAAGATCCCACATGCTGTGTGGCACAGCCCAAAAAAAAAAAAAAAAAAAAAAAAAATTATATAATAATTCCTAATTACTCAAGAAAAGGGTTTGTTAGGGTGACAGAGCCCGGTAACTTCATAAAACTTAAACCTTTATAATCAGAGGTTCCACTCCTCTCCCTAACACAATGTTTATAATTAATATCTTAATACTCATTGCAATTCTTCTAGCCGTAGCATTCCTTACATTAATTGAACAAAAAGTACTAGGTTATATACAACTTTGAAAAGGACCAAACATCATTGGACCATATGGCCGATTACAACCTATTGTGGACGCAGTCAAATTATTCATTAAAGAACCACTATGGGTCACACCGGTTAGAATGGCTATCAAAAAGACAAGTGATAACAAGAGTTGGTAAAGATGTGGAGAAAAGGGAATCCCTGTGCACTGTTGATGGGAATGTGAACTGGTACAACCATTATGGAAAATAGTATGGAGTTTCCTCAAAAAATTAAAAGTAGAACTAATATATAATATTATCCAACAATTCCATTTCTGATTATAACTCCAAAGGAAATGAAACCACTGTCTTGAAGAGATATCTGCAACTCATGTTCATTGCAGCATTATTCACAATAGATAGAAAGATATGGAAACAACCTAAGTATCCATTAAAAGACAAATGGATAAAGAAAATGTGGAATATTTATTTATATAATTCAACCATAAAAAGGAGGAGATCCTGCCTTTTGTGACAGTATGGACCATGAGGGCATTGTGCTAAGTGAAATAAGTCTGACACAGAGAAATACCGTATGTTCCCACTAAGCCCGTGCGCCACAACTACTGAGCCTGCGCTCTAGAGCCTGCGAGCCACAACTACTGAGCCTGCGTGCCAGAACTACTGAAGCCCACGTGCCTAGAACCCACGCTCTGCAACAAGAGAAGCCACCGCAATGAGAAGCCCGCGCACCACAGCAAAGAGTAGGCCCCACTTGCCACAACCAGAGAAAAGCCCACGCACAGCAACGAAGACCCAATGCAGCCAAAAATTAAAAAAAAAAAAAAAATGGGAGTTTAAATCTCCCCTTAATGATATGCCACAACCAGAGACATAAACAAGATTCATTACTATTTCATCAATCATTCTAGCCCTACTTATTATAGTCCAATGAAAAATTTCAAACTATGTTTATCACTTAAACCCAGAATTAAAACTCAAATGCAAAAACAATCCACCCTTTGAGAAACAAAATGAATGAAAATTTATTGGCCTCTTTCATTACCCCAACAATAACAGGACTTCCTATTGCTATCTTCATTGCTCTAGTCCCAAGCATTGTATTCCCCACTCCTAGCCCACGAATCCACAACCGCATCATTTTTACTCAACAGTGACGAGTCCAATGCACATCAAAACAAATAATGGCCATTCATAATCACAGAGGACAGACCTGAATACGAATACTTCAATCGCTCATTCTATTTACTGGGTCAACAAATTTACTAAGACCCCTACCACCTTCATTTATACCCACCACACAACTCTCAATGCATTCAGGTCTAGCAATCCCTCTATGAGCAGGAACTGTAATGACTGGTTTTTCCCACAAAACAAAAGCATCCTTGGCCTATTTTCTACCACAAGGACCCCAGTGTCTCTTATCCCTGTGCTAGTCATCATTGAAACTATGAGACTATTTAGTCAACCAATAGCCTTAGCCATTCGATTAACAGCCAGTATTAGAGCAGGTCACTGATTAATTCATTGAATCGGAGGGGCAACTCTAGCACTACTACATATTAGTACCACCACAGCCCTTATGACAGTCATTATTCTTTTTTTTTTTAATATTTATTTGGCTGCATCGGGTCTTAGTTGTGGCATGCAGGCTCTAGAGCTCGCAGGTTTAGTCGCCCCTCGGCATGTCAGATCTTAGTTCCCTGACCAGGGATCAAACCTGCGTCCCCTGAATTGAAAGGATTCTTAACCACTGGACCACCAGGGAAGTCCTGACAGTCATTATTCTTATCCTACTCACAATCTTCGAATTCGCTGTCCCCCTAATTCACACTTAAATATTCACCCTACTAGTAAGTCTGTACGTATATGACAACACAAAAAGACCCACGAAACCCCTGCATGTCAGAGTAAATCCTAGTCCCTGACCCCTTACAGGAGCTCTTCCAGCCCTCCTAATAACATCCGGCCTTGTCATAGGATTTCAGTTTAATTCAGTACTATTATTAGCACCAGGCTTACTAATACTCAATATAACAGTGATGTCAAGACATCGTCCAAGAAAGCACCTTCCAAGGCCATCCTGTACCAATTGTTCAAGAAGGACTTCAATATGAACTCATTCTTTTCATGATTTCAGAAGCCCTCTTTCTTACCAGCTTTTTCTGAGCCTTCCATCACTCGAGCCTCACCCCACCCCTGAAATAGGCGGATGCTGACCATCCCAGGCATCTGCCCTCTAAACCCACTAGAAGGAGCACTCCTCAACACCTCAGTCCTATTAGCCTCCGGGGTACCCATCACCTGAGCCTGCCACAACCTCATAGAAGGAAACCGAACACATACGCTCCAAGCCCTTTCTATGACAATTGCGTTGCGTGTTTACTTCACACTTCTACAAGCCTCAGAATAGTACGAAACGTCTTTTACAATTTAGATGGGGTATATGGATCAACTTTCTTCATGGCTACAGGATTCCACGGCCGACATGGAATGATTGATTCTACTTTCCTAATCGTCTGCTTCTTACACCAATTAAAATTTCACTTTACATCCAGTCACCACTTGGACTTTGCAGCCTGATATTGACATTTCGTAGACATAGTATGACGATTCCTTTACATATCTATTTATTGATGAGGATCTTTTTCTTTAGTATTAAATCGTAAATTGACTTTCAATCAATTACTGTTGGTATAATCTGAAAAATAATAAATCTTATACTGATATTAGTCACAAATAGAGTACTATCCTCACTGCTTGTATGTATCACATTCTGACTCCTTCCATTAAATATTTAGAAAAAACAAGTCTCTACGAGCGTGGATTTGACCCCATATGGTCGGCACGCTTACCCTGTTCCAGAAAGGTTTTCTTAGTGGCTCTGACGTTTCTTCTCTTCGACTTAGAGATTGCTCTCCTTTTACCTTTACCCTGAGCATCTAAACAACCTAAAAAACAATGCTCATTATAGCTCTGTTTCTAACCTTACTACTAGCAACAAGGCTGGCCTATGAATGAACCCAAAAAGCACTAGAATGAACTGAAAATGATCATTAGTTTAAGCTACAATAAAGGACTTAAACTCATTAGATTATGAATAAGTTCATAATTATCAAGTGCCTTTAATATATATATTATTATAGCATGTTCAGTATCTCTTGTAGGATTACTAATGTACCAATATTACCTAATATCCTCACTAGATACTATGCCAAGAAGGAATATATTATCACTATTCATTATAGCAACCTAATAATTATTTGCAACCCTAATAATTCTAAACACATTTCACTCTAGCAGAATACCCATTGTGCTACTAGTATTTGCAGCTTACAAAGCTGCACTTGGACTATCCCTATTAGTAATAGTATCACACATACATGGCACCGACGAGGTACAAAATCTTAACGTTTTCCAGTGTCAAAAATCATTATCCTTACAATTATATTAATACCACTAACAGGATTATCAAAGAATAATAGAATAGGAAGTAACCCTATAGCCCATAGCTTTCTGATTAGTTGAATAAGCCTACTCAGCCAATTTAATGATTATAGCCTCAACTCTTCACTAGTTTTTTTCTCTGACTCCCTATCAGCACCACCATTAGCTTTACCAACACAACTTTTGCCACTCATACTTCTAGCCAGCCAATTCCACCTGTCCAAAGAATCCCTAACCCAGAAAAAACTGTACATCACCATACTAGTAAAATGACAAATATTTCTAATCTTAACATTGACTACCATATATGGAAACACAAAAGACCCTGAATAGCCAAAGCAATCTTGAGAAAGAAAAACAGAGCTAGAGGAATAAGGCTGCCCAACTTCAGACTATACTACAAAGCTACAGTAATCAAGAGAGTATGGTACTGGCACAAAAACAGAAGCATAGATCAATGGAACAGGATAGAAAGCCCAGAGATAAACCCACACACCTATGGTCACCCAATCTATGACAAAGGTGACAAGAATATACAATGGAGAAAAGACAGCCTCTTCAATAAGTGGTGCTGGGAAAACTGGACAGCTACATGTAAAAGAATGAAATTAGAACACTCTCTAACACCATACACAGAAATAAACTCAAAATGGATTAACAACCTAAATATAAGACCAGACACTATAATACTCTTAGAGGAAAACATAGAACACTCTTCGACATAAATCACAGCAAGATCTTTTTTGACCCACCTCCTAGAATAATGAAAATAAAAACAAAAATAAACAAATGGGACCTAATTAAACTTAAAAGCTTCTGCAAAGCAAAGGAAACCATAAACAAGATGAAAAGACAACCCTCAGAATGGGAGAAAACATTTGCAAACGAAGCAACTGACAAAGGACTAATCTCCAAATATATACAAACAGCTCATGCAGCTCAATATCAAAAAAACAAACAATCCAATCAAAAAATGGGTAGAAGACCTAAATAGACATTTCTTCAAAGAAGACATACAGATAGCCAACAAACACATGAAAAGATGCTCAACATCACTAATTATTAGAGAAATGCAAATCAAAACTATGAGGTATCGCCTCACACCGGTCAAATGGCCACCATCAAAAAATCTACAGGCAATAAATGCTGGAGAGGGTGTGGAGAAAAGGGAACCCTTTTGTACTGTTGGTGGGAATGTAAATTGATACAGCCACTATGGAGGTTCCTTAAAAAACTAAAAACAGAACTACCATATGACCCACCAATCCCACTACTGGTCATATAACCAGAGAAAAACAATTCAAAAAGACACATGCACCCGATGTTCACTGCAGCACTATTTACAATAGCCAGGACATGGAAGCAACCTAAATGTCCATCAGCAGAGGAATGGATAAAGAAGGTGTGGTACATATATACAATGGAATATTACTCAACTGTAAGAAGGAATGAAATTGGGTCATTTGTAGAGATGTGGTTGTACCTATAGACTGTCATACAGAATGAAGTAAGTCAGAGAGAGAAAAACAAATATATATTAATGCATATATGTGGAATCTAGAAAAATGGTATAGATGGTCTTATTTGCAAAGCAGAAATAGAGACACAGATGTAGAGAACAAACATGGATACCAAGGGGGAAGGAGGGGTGGGATGAATTGGGAGATTGGGATTGACATATACATACTACTGATACTATGTATAAAATAGATAACTAATGAGAATGTACTGTATAGCACAGGGAACTCTCTCTACTCAATGCTCTGTGGTGACCTAAATGGGAAGGAAATCCAAAAAAGAGGGGATATATGTATACCTATAGTGGATTCACTTTGCTGTACAGTAGAAACTAACACAACATTGTAAAGCAACTATACTGCAATAAAAATTAATAATATAAAATGTTTCCTAGAAGAAAAAAAAATGACTGCCATAGAACGAATCCTAGTTTACATTTTATTTGAAACACTAGTTGCAACACTTATTATCATTACCCGATTATATAGTCCAACAGAACGACTGATGCAGGACTTTATTTCTTATTCTACACACTAGTAGGATCCCTCCCACTTTAGTTTTTTTTTTTTTTTTTTTTTTTTTTTTTCCCCCCCTTTTTTTTTTTTTTTTTTTTTTTTTTTTTTTTTTGGCCACACCTTGCAGCTTGTGGGATCTTAGTTCCCTGACCAGGGACTGAACCTGTGGCATGACAGTGAAAGTGCTGAGTCCTAACCACTGGACCACCAGGGAAGTCCCCCCATTATTTTTTAAATTTGGGGGATGCTTCACCTCAGCTATGGCATCTGAGGCCCTAACACAGTCAAATACATGTATATTTGAGCTTCAGCATCTTTTTTTTTTTTTTTTTTGCAGTACATGTACCTCTCACTGTTGTGGTCTCTCCTGTTGCGGAGCACAGGCTCTGGATGCGCAGGTTCAGCGGCCATGGCTCACAGGCCCAGCCGCTCCGCGGCATGTGGGATCTTCCCAGACCGGGGCACGAACCCATGTCCCCTGCATCGGCAGGCGGACTCTCAACCACTGTGCCACCAGGGAAGCCGAAGCTTGAGCATCTTTTAATATGTTTGTTGACCTTTTAGGTCATGAGCCCATCTATACCAGTAGGTACAGATGCTGATACACGATCATACTTTACATCAGCTACTTCAATTATCGCTATTCCCACAGGAGTAAAAGAATTTAGCTGATTAGCCACTCTTCACGGAGGTAACATCAAATGATCCCCCGCTATATTATGAGCCCTAGGATTTCTTTTCCTTTTACAGGTGGTTTAACAGGAATTGTTAGAGCCCACTCATCCCTAGATACTGCCCTTCTTGACACACACTACGGAGTTGCACTTTTCCACTGTGCATTAAGAGCGGTCTTCACCACCATAGGAGGCTTTGTGCAACTGATTCCCACTATTCTCAGCTTATACACTCAATTCAGCAGGAGCAAAAATCCATTGTGTACTTATATTTGTAGGCATAAATATAACCTTCTGCCCACAACATTTCCTCGGTTTATCTGGAATACCACAATGATATACTGACTACCCTGACGCATATACGACGTGAAATACCATTTCATCAATAGGTTCCTGCATTTCAGGTACAGCAGTCATATTAATACTTTTCATCATCTGAGAAGCACTTGCATCACAAAGAGCGGTCTCAACAGTAGATGTAACCACTGCAAACTTAGAGTGATTACATGGATGCCCTCCACCATATCACACATTTGAAGAACCCACTTATGTCAGTCTAAAATAAGTAGGAAAAGGACTTCCCTGGCAGTCCAGTGGTCAAGACTCTGCCCTTCCGATGCAGGGGGTGCGGGTTTGATCCCTGGTTGGGGAACTAAGATCCCACATGATGTATGGCACGGCCAAATAAATAAAGTAACTAGGGGACTCCCCTGGTGGTCCAGTGATAAAGAATCCACCTTCCAGTGCAGGGGACACGGGTTCAATCCCCGGTTGGGGAACTAAGATCCCACATGCCCCGGGGCAACTAAGCCACAGCTATTTAGCTCGCGAGCCTCAACGAGAGAGCCTGTGTGCCGCGGACTACAGAGCCCATGCGCTCTGGAGCCTGCGCACCACAACTAGAGAAGAGAAAACCCACATGCCACAACTAGAGAGAAACCTGAGCATACCGCGCACCATAATGAAAAGATCCCACATGCCTCAAAGATCGCGTGTGCTGCAACTAAGACCCA